TTTTATCCAATTCATTGAAAAGAATGGCATGGCAGGACTCTGCTCACTGATCTCTTATCATCTTACAATAAAAATTATCCACAACTTTATAGTTAGTATTTATTTGTTTGGATTGAAAATTTCACTCTGTAACCAGACTTCCCATGAAAAAGGCAGTAGCAGTAAGTTATTAAACTACATCAAACTGATCACAGTTCCCCAAGGATGCAAACTTAGTCCTTTGCTTTTTACTCTGCTGACACACAACTCTTTTGCTAACTTCAACACAAACCGACTCATTAGGTTTACTAATAATACAACAGTTGTAGGACTCCAACAATAGTGAAATCTAACTAAAAAGCTGATTGTTTTAGACAAAAACTGAACATCCCTCCCTTTACATTTAGTGTTTTCAGTGAAGAGAGAGTGAGTGAGTTGTGTTTTTACATGACTGAGGATTCTCCTCTGAAATGCAACATCACACTTTTGATCAAAAACGCTTAACGGAGAATGCAGTTACTTAGGAGGCACAGATTACTGGATACTTACTGCAACTACAGTGTGACTGAGAATACCACGGTAACAAATTCTGAGTTGTTCATGACTGGGGGATTCAAGGGCGCCTCCAGAGCCAATCAACTTTAACAAACTTTTAAACTTCAGTCAGTTTTGTAGATACTGAACTAAGATGTAGTGTGATGGTTGCTGAGAGTCAGCCCCAACACATCCTGCATGTGCAAACTGATGGAGTGAGATTTATTTCAAATGCTGTCATTAAAATTTGGAGTCAACTCTGTTAGCAAAGTATCTCTTGAACCACCAGATAAAACACAGGGATATTGTTTATTGGATGTACACGCACAACTGATTTGAGCTTTGGAATCAACCTGATTTTAGATAGGCACCGCAGCTAATTAACTTTACCAAGCACAAAACTAGCTAAAACTCAATCAATTCGACAGATGTTGAGCTAACATTTGTGTGAGCATGGATGGCTTTCATTTAAAACATACTCTGAATGCTAATAAATCATGACATTTATGTTTAAAACGGGAGTGTTATCTATTTTCCAGGTCATATACTTCAATTCTATCCCACAATCAAGTCACTATGTTATCTTCATTTGTGAAAATGCTGCGTACTGCTCTAAATAAATAAATAAATAAATAAATAAATAAAGGGAACACTTAAACAACACA